GGGGTTTTGTTTTTTTTTGTTTGTGTGTGTGTGTGTGTGTGTGTGTGTGTGTGTGTGTGTGTGTGTGTGTGGGCATTCACACCTCTAAGTTTAGGTGCGAATATGGATCCTTTGTCAGGAATTTGCATTTTTCTGTAGCAGGAATCCTTAATCTTCCATTTACAAGTGGCAGCTGTCACCCATTCAGGTTCATGATCAGGCGACAGCCGCTGCATGTAAACGCTGGCACACCGCATGCAATCGTATCTGATATGATTACATGCATTTAGAAAACAATCACTCTTCCTAGATGCACAATCAAAGCGTCCAGTGATAGTGATTGATTCCTAACCACATGTAATCATATCATATGGCATTACATGAAGTGTGCAGGCGTTTGTGTAATATGCTTGTGCATATTTCTGGAGTACGCGGTCCAGTTCTGGTCACCAGTACTAAGAAAAGATGTCCTTGAGTTGGAAAAAGTCCAGCGGAGGGCAACCAAACTAATTAGGGGTATGGAGGACCAGAGCTACGAGACAAGGCTACTAAATTTAAACATGTTCACATTAGAGGTGAGGAGATTAAGTGGGGATATGATTTCCATGTACAAGATGTTCAATGGTGGTAGCAACATTAGCGATAAACTGTTTAAAATTAACTCCATTACAAAAACTAGAGGCCACCACCTAAAATTGGTGGAAAAAAAATTCCAGCACAAGGGGCGAAGGGGGTTCTTCACAGTAAGATTAGTTAGGGTCTGGAACTCACTGCCACAGGCGGTGATTTCAGCAAATAATGTGGAATTGTTCAAGAAACTTTTGGACGATTTCTTAAGGGACCGTATTATACAGGGGTACAGGTACTCCTAGAATGAGATCCTAATAGGTAGGACTTGATGGACTGATGTCTTTATTCAACCTCAAATACTATGTAACTATGTAACTATGTACATGCAGCGGCTGTCACCCGAATCATTACTTTGAGCGGGTGACAGCTGCTGCATGTAAAGCACAGATTAGGGATTCCTGCTGCAGCAAAATGCAAATTCCTGACACAGGAATCCTTAATCGCACCTAAACTTACAGGTGTGAATGGATGTGAACCCAGCCTAAGTGTGTACATTTCTGGGTGTGTGTGTGTGTGTGCGTAGTTTGAAGCTGCCTAATAATAACCAAAAAGGAATGAATTAAATTATCAAGTAGTCATAGTGAGATTCATTCACAATGACTGCTTGATATAATTAAATAAATAAAATAACAATGTTAAAAAATGTTTTAAAAAATAGTGAAAAGTGTAAAAAAAATAAAACATAAATGTAACAAATAAAAATTATATATTTAAATATATTTTTATACTATCATTAATATAAAATATTAATATTCACTATATTAATATAAAAATGAACCCATTACAATGGAAATCACTCATGTCCAATAATATAAGAAAAATATTAAGGATTGGAACAAAAGAGAAGGAAGACAATTAGATGGGGGAATGACAAATGACAAAGACAAAGGCACACTCTGGTTATGAAATTTGAACTCATTCAAATCATAAAGAACATGGATGTTACCAATGAAATAAGTGAGAACTATAAGATGTATCGCATATTATGATACAATTTAAAAGTAAATGAAAATGAATTTAGCATGACCGAATCCTGATCTCTACAGTGACAAGACAAATGTCCCAGTCAGAGTGCCCATGCCATCTTAAAAGATATATGTACAAATTGCACCCTATTTTGGCAGAGGGCTGGAGCAATGGACATTACCGTTTTCTACTTCTAATAGGAGGGGGGCAGGAATGACCTATACCCTGGCCCGTCACAGAATGGGAATTATGGTCCATTGCTGTCAAGGTTGCAAACCTGTTATACTTGCAGGAACTTTCATCTGGTTTGCATCCCGTGACAAACATCAACCATGTTTGTTTTGCAGCTTTGCCAGTGATGATTGAGCTTTTCAACATAACCCATATATTTCTGGATTAGTTGGGTATTGGGATGTTACCCAGAGAATTTTTCAATTTCACAGGCATTTCAAAAAACATTTCCTTGAAGTGATTTGTTGTTACAATTTTTAAAATACGGTCATAATGAACCTATTGATTGGAATCATGTTCCAATTATTTGTTTGTCTAGCATTATGGATCTCATTCCAGCCGGCTTACTTTGTTCTGGGGCAGTAAGGGGCATGGCGGTGCATTGAAGTCAATTGGCACCGCAGACATGCCCTCCAGCCACAGTGCGATCGCCCGCATTGGAATGCGTGTCACATCAATGCTTGCATTCCAGTCCGGTGCGGTCAGAAAAAAATAGTGCATGCAGCATTTTTTCTGACCGGAACGCAGGCAGGTGCGGGCGATCGCACTGCGGCCAGAGGGAGTGGCTGTGGTGCCATTTACTTCAATGCACTGCCAAGCCCCTTACCGCCCCAAAACAAAGTGAGCCGCCTGGGATGTGATGCAGTTATATTACATTACAGCTAATAAAAATGCATTCATTTATTTGTCCTTTATTTGGAAAAACCTCACATTCCTACGATTTTAGAAATGTTTCTGTACTTCTCGGCCTAAAACTCAAACCTAACATTTTAAACTTTTTTCTCTAAAAGCTAAAGCTAAAAGTGGTCACCTGGCATACAATGTCACTGTCACTAAATGTCACACTTAGTGACAGCGACATACTTTGAACATCACTGTCATGAGGGGGTTAAATTAAAAAATTAACTCCTTAGGAAGTTATCTAAACATTTTTTGCTTTTGTTTACTCTATTAAAATCTTTTTAATTCATTCAATTCTTTTTTTCCTCTTTCCTTTAGCACCCATTCCATTTTAGAGGGAGGTACCTAATAGGAATGGACAGATACCAAGTACCGTACCTGGTGCAAGTACAGATACTTTTTCAGCTCCAAGACTAGACTAGAGGAAAACTTAAACATTAGGAAGCAGCTGTTATATATATATGTGTGTGTGTGTAAGAAGGCTGGCTATTGGCCAGCCTGTGTTTGTGGGAGGAGTCTGGCCTGTAAATACAGCCTTGGTTTTCCCTCACTCACCTGTCAGATTGTTTCAGGGCTGCATGTCTCCCGGCACCGACTTCTGGTCCCCATGTCTTGCCTGATTGCACTCCACACGGTTTGCATCTACGGGGGAGGACACACACACACACCCCTCACGTCGCTGCTCGCTGTCAGTGTCATTGTTGTTGCTCTTGCACGATTTGGCTGATGATTACTATTGGTTACTGCAGGTAGATTGAGTGATATAGGGGGTTGAATCAGAGCCCGACACCTCAACTCTCCCTATCTTATAGAGGAGTCTCCCTCTATAAGATAGTAAGATAGTGGCTCCCGGATACCCTGGAGATAAACATTTTCTCCCGGAAAGGTTTATCTAGCAGAGTAAACCCTTCTCTGCTATCTGTTTTGTTTTTTTTTACATCGGGGCTGCCGGCCGCCATCAGTCAGAGAAAAAAAAACAGCATAGGAATTAATAGCTAGGTTTCTATTGGCTATTTCAATTTGCAATAGCCAATAGCAGACTAGATATTGCACCCACTCACTGCTGCTGTCAATCAGAAGAGATGGACCTGAAGTTCTCCATCGGGTCCTTCTCTGCTGATGGACAGCAGCACAGGACGGGTGCAATAGCCTGCTTGCTTTTGGCTATTTCAAATTGAAATAGCCAATAGAAGCCTAGCTATTCATTCCTATGCTGGGTTTTATTTTATTTTTTTATTCTGAAGGCAGCAGGTGTCAGAATACTAAAAAAAAACCCCAGCAGATAGCAAGGGAAGCAATAGCTTATTTGCTATTTGCCATAATTTCAGTGGGGTGCTCTGTTCTTTGTTATTGCACCCCTGCCCCCCCTCCCCCTGTGGATGGGGGGGGGGGGGCAGAGGGCACCTCCCTGAAATGAGAAAAGCACCTCCCTGAAATGACTTTTTTTCAGATTGGGATCCCTGCAGAGCTGACCTTTGCTTTTGAATGTCTTTGCAGCTTCTACATTTACTTCTGTGTTAAATCATTGGGAACATTTGATTAAATTGCAGGTTGTGATTAAAGAGCACACGTGAAAAAAATGGCGGCAATGCATTGCTAAATGAATTGCTGTGATTATTCTCCCTCTCCATGCATTACAAGTTACATACGGATATTAGACATGGTCATTACACTTGGTTAGGACACGGTTTATTGTTTCAGCTATAGTTCTTCATGGTTATGAGAGTATGCGGATTGAGGAGCCATTTTAACAGCAAGGTTCTCACCTGTATACTACAAAACAAAACAAAAAAACATTTCCTCTGCTTCTATCCATTCATACATTATAATTGGTACATTTGGACATATAGATATGTAATTTACACATTGACAGGACACAACGATTGTTGTGGCATTACACAGGTTTCTCACCATTTATCCATACTACACCCGGCCCATTCTTCCACAAATCTCATTTTACGCTCACCTGCCACGTCAGCAGGTTTCCTTAGCCCTGAGTTCTCATTTACAACTGACCTGTCACATCTCTGGTTAAGCTCGGGCTCACTTACTTTGACATGTCTCAGTGAAAATGGACAACATACATCAAACAGCCACACTTGGTATTCATTATTACTTTATTTGATGACCTCTCAGATGATCCGCTCTATGGTATCATTCTTTAGCTTAGATAAGCATATTGGGTAACTATTTTAAGCA